TTTCCCCCTTGAGGGTCTTGCAAGCTGCTGATAGCCAGTACTGGACTGAGGAGCAACTTTTCAACAGATGTACCCTAAATCCCTCAGTTATGTTCCCAGCACTGGGTTTTTTCTTTGTTTCACCTGCTGGGGGTCTGGTAGTGCTTCCCATCCTGCTGCTCCCAGCCCTCCCWGCAGGTACCACTGCTCATGACAATCCCTCAGAGCTCAGCTCAAAGAAACATGATGTGGACACTCATCTTCAGCCTGCTCCAGGCAGGAGCACAGGGGTTTGGATGTGTCTTTGTGGCAGCCTGCCCTGCCTCTGCAGGGCTTCAGGAGGTGAGGGAGTGTTTCATGGGGAGGAGGGGGAGCTCTGCAGCCAACCTGAAATCAGCTGCTTGAGCTCAGGTTATTGTCACAAGAGTTGCAATCAAAGCCTACTCTGAGTATTTTCTTACTCAAATCAGTGCTCCAACATTGCTTTTATTTTCCACCCTGATGTGTCACGGAGCTTTCATGAGAGTCCTGCCATWCCCAACGAGTACAAAGGTCTCCTTTGGCTCCATTTACATGAACACTTCCAGGGTGTYCGTGGGCTTCTGTCCTGCTGAGAGCCATTCCTCCTCCAGCCCAACCTGGATAATTGCCGGCTTGTGCACACCCACTGTGAGAGCGCACTAAAGCGGTTGTTGGTAAAACACAGCACTTTCTCCAGCAAAACTCTGTGGTRGAGAGCAAGTGTTAGACTAACTCTGGGCTAGGCACAGTAAATCACAGCCTGGAAGACGTAAGCAGGACATTTATACCCCATGGACCAACCCTGACAAGGAGCGTTACGACTATAGCCTGCTACAGACTGCTCACAGCAACCCGGCAGCCTCCATAAAGGACACAAAATCTCTCTTCCCGAGCCTTTGAACGGCAGGCATTAGAAAAGGGCACATGAGGAAAAAGTGGCAATTTACTGACAAGCTCCCAGGCAGGCCAGCAATATCAGAGAGTCCAATTCGTCACTTAGAGAGAGCAGGATATAATTCCTCCTGTAATCACGATGGAAAGGCCTGTGGTCTGGGCTAGCAGGGAAAAGGTTGACTCATATTAAGACCAACCCATCACCAAGTGTCAAGTGCTCCCTAAGATGGCTCAGACGCTAATTCGAGAAGTCACCTGGTGGCAGCGGGTCACCAGCTCCCTCTACAGACAATCAGGACACAGCCGGACCCCTGCAGAAMTGCTACAGCAAGCGCAGAATAACAAAGAGAGTCCCTTTAAACCGGAGCGGAATTTTCCTCCTCATCACCAGCAATAATTATCCCGCTCGATGCCAAGCCCTTTGTTTTCCTTTGCGGAGAGAGGTTTGTCCCGGCGTGGATGAAGAAATGGCTGCGATGGCATAAGCGCTCCCCAAGCCAGCCGGGAATGTGTCTTTTGTTTCCTTCCAGCGGAACAAAGAGCGGGAGCGGTGCATGGAAACACAGGCGCCACCGGGCTGCAGGAAAAGTTCAGCAGCGCGGAACCAGGTGGCTGGTCGGAAACAAAGTGCCAAGACCACTCGCGGCAGCAATACTTCACAGTGCAGCACACGACGAGCGTGTCCCTGCCCGCCAGCATCACCCCAGCATCCCATCAGCATCCCACAACCCCGCCGGGCACACGACCCAAGCCACAAACCCGTAGGTGACACGTCCAAACAGCGACAAGGATGTAGCAGGGGCAAAATCCGGGCACAGGGGTGGCTGCAGGGTGGGAGGAACGGGCTAAGCCAGAGCGACGCAGCATCGGGAGCGAGAAACTGCTGAATTCTCATCCCTGCCCCAACACCTCTTTGTTTCAGCATCTCCTGGCTGTGGGAGGTGGGAAAARGATGTCTAGAGGAGTGAGATGGGACTGCTTAAGGCACAAACATCTTTCTCAGAAGCCTCTCAGAGCCCTCGGCTCCTACCTCCCTTCACCTGCGATGTGGGGAACTTATTGTTCAGAGAAGTAACATGGATTTGGGTTTTTTTTTTGTCCTTTTGCCAGTAGTATTACAGCCTCTCTTACTTCATAGCTCACGAACATTTTTTGTTTTCTTTCTGAAATTTCTCAGTATTTGCAGGTGACAGAAATCTGTCCCCCCTGCTCCCACCCATACGAGGTACGTTCTTCCAAAGACAATCCAAATCACAGGCAGGGGGCAGGGTACGTGTAAAAGTGGGCAAGCTGTTCGCTCCTCACAATAATTAGAGAGTGTTTCGATGCCAAGGAAAAAGAAGAAAAGAGTTGCACCTGCCTGTGTTTCCCAGCCCCCCTCAGCACCATGAGCCTGCCAGGGCACAGCTGGGCAGCTCCTTCCTTGTCTGCTGCACTGACCAAAGCGAGGGTGATCTGTGGGGGTGCGAAGGAGGATGCTGAGCCACATGATCCAACAAATATTCCTGATGTGGGGGAAAGCTGCACAAATACACATTATCTCCCCCACCTCTCATCACGGAGAGGAGCTGTTCCCTCCTGGACACACAGAGAGCTCCTTGAAAACTTTGGAAGGGTCTCTTCTCTGCACTTTTAATRTCACACAGTTCCCTTTACCTACAGGACGTGTTAACAAAAAGTGCTATTTACGTGGCTCCCAAAGCTGAAAACTCTCTATCATCCCCTGACCTGCTGCAGACCAAACACTCKGCTTTTCCATGCCATCCCAGCAATGCACTTCAGCCAGGTCAGAGCACTGTGCTCACCATTCCTGGCACCACAGCAGCACACAGGGATGAAGTGCCCTTTGTGCCACGCTTCTGTGCAGGGTGACCTGTGTTTGGCCCTCACTGTGTTTGGGATGCAGGAGCTCATCAAACCCGAAGCACTCCAGAGATGCAATGRGGAAAAGTGGGTGAGAGCAGACAAAGCAAGAGAAAGGTTCAGTTTGCCCAACTTCATGATTAAGTAATCTACAATTAATACAGCAGGGTCCCACCTTTGCTCTGTTCATGCCCGTAAGGGAAGCACAGCTGATGTGGGCACTGATCTGTGCAAGGTCTGGCGCTCACGTGTATCACAGGACAAGGATGCAGGACTCTCCTTCACCCCCTGGGTGCAGGGTGCTCCTCTCCTCTGCCAGCTCCCTCCTGCACTACCATTCCTGAATGCTGTGTGGAACAAGCCGCTCGCTGTTCCTACAGAACTCATCTGACCCTGCTGCCGTCTCTGCCGCCGCACCGCTTGGCAGTACTTCCTCGGAGGAACTACAGCAACAAACTCAGATGCCAGGGTTTGGAGATAAGCAGCCAGCAAACAGCCAATTTCCATACAATGCACAGAAAAGAGAGGAGAAAAAAGACACAATACTGGGAATCCCTAATGAACCAGGGTGAAAAACAGGACAAGTAAGTAACAAAACAAAATAGATTTTCAATAAGGGCACAGCAAGTTCTAGTGGGTAGATCTGGCAGATAGGCGAGGAGAGAGAAGAAAGAATAGAAGCCAGAAAAGGAGACGGGAAGAAAGCAAAGGGATCAGAGCAGCCTGTCCAATGGAGAGGGTGCATCAGAAGATTTTAATTTCCTTTATTATTACATAGATAGTGCCAGCTCATTGCAGAGCAACCATTCATCTACCCTGGTAACCTACAGTCTGGTAGGTGGATGTTTCTGGACAAGGCTGCTGACCTTTAAGCACTTCTTGCCTGTGGCACCCAAAATAACATAACAATGAAACAATAAACAAACATCAGTGCATTTCTTTTATCATCTCATCAAGGTATTTTGTTTTGGTGTAACACAGTGGACAAAGCCACCTGGTCCCAAACAGAAAGACCTTTGTGTCATTTGGGCACCCGATAGCATACCTCATTACTAAAATTATCTGATTTTCCATATAGCTGTAGTGAGTTCCTCAAGTTAATGCAAACCCGCCTCTCAGCATTTGTTCCTCTCATTCCCTAAGTTTCCACCACACCTCAGAGACGGGGTTTATGGGGTGGATAGGATGCTGCTCCTCAGACTGAGGGGCTCCTTTAGCCCCTGCCATAGATGGCACCTGCAGGTAAACACCGACCATGGCAGTGATCAGCAGGGGGTGATCATGAAGCCCCTCATGCATCCCATCTGAACACAATAGTGAGGTGAGCTCTCCCACCGTGCTCCATCACGCCCACCCAACTGGTCCCGGCTCAATTTCTCCCATCCCACAGACTGGTCCTTTATCCACCATTCCCATCAGCTCGGTGAAGCTCCACCACACCCATCTGGACCACCAGTGGCACCTAAGCCCCCTGGGCTACAACTTGCCCCAGCATCCCTGTCCAGCAGACCACTCACACTGATATCCTACTTAGGGACCTGCTCCATCCGTCCATCAGCATCCGAGCACTGCCCGTGCCAAAATCCCTCTCTCCAGACCAGAACCTGCTCCAACATTTCTAATCAGACTGGTACCCACTCCAGCATCCCTAMCCAGACCTGTACCTGATCGAGCATCCCTGGACCGGTACCTCAGCCTCTCTAAAAGGACCAGTACCTTCATGTCTCTAAKGGGAGTGGTACCCGCTCCAGCATCCCTGCACGGACCGGTACCTCAGTGTCTGTGAAGGGAGTGGTAGCTGCTCCAGCATCCCTGCCTGGACCGGTACCCCAGAGCCTGTAACGGGAGCAGTACCTGCTCTGGTACCCCTATCCAGGCAGGCATCTCAGCATCCCTAAAGGGACCGCTAGCTGCTCCAGCATCCCTACCCGGACCGGTACCTTCCCGTGTCCAACGGGAACAGGAGCCGCTCCCGCCCCGCTGTCCGGCCCGGCGTGGCCGCCCCCCGGCCCCRTGCCCCATCCTGTCCGGCATGTCCCGCCCGGGGCTGCCACCGGCCCCGCGGAGCGGCGCGGCAGAGCAGCGCGCTCCCTTCCCACTTAGGCACGGCAAAAACCAGGAGAGCCGGAGACAAAGAAACTGTCCGGGCGCCCGCCCCCTCCGCCGCCGCCACCGCCTCCTCCCCGGTCCCCAGCACCGCTCCGCTCCGYGCCCCTTCCTCCGCGCGGGGACGGGGGATTTACCCGCTTTCCTCCTCGATCTCCGAGATATCGGCGAAGATCAGGAAACCGACGAGCAGCGTGAGGAGCGCCAGCGTCCAGCCCCGGCACGGCAGCGGC